CCCCCCCACCAACAACAGTCGCAGAGAGAACGCAGCGGTGAATCATGATGAGTGTCTCTGGTACTGGACTGGACTGTGGACCAGTACTACACCAGTACTGCACCAGTACTACACCAGTACTACACCAGTACTGTACCAGCAGTAGGACCACCTTGTCCTGCCAACACCAGTGGAGATCTTTCCGTCCTAACAGGAATATTAGTCGAATTAAAAGTCAAATCCAGACGGTGCAGTAAAGCAGAACGACAAGTGGAGACACACACACACACACACACACACACACACCAGCTGTATTAGGAATCAAATTACCCCATGTACCATTACTGTACCAAACGTGGTCTGCGTACCGTAGTTTGAACCTAAAACAAACTTAAAAACTTAAATCAATTTAAACATGTTTTTTTTTCTGCACTGTCCCTTTAACTGTGATTGGCCAATGCAGCAACTCTGATGAAACTTTGGGTCCAGTCAGTGTGAGCCGCCTGTTTACAGCTGTCTCCCCCCCCCTCCTCACCTCGATTAGAATTTGTTTCCTCATAAACCATTGATCATCGGCCTATTACCAGGCAAATGACAGTTAATTACCCACTACATTAACCACAGGGACCTGGTGACCGACTCCCCCTGCCATCAGTCAACATGATGAATGTGGCGACTTCGCCAACGCGCGGCCGCTCCCTCGTCTGGCTGCCGCGCACAACAACACCTGAACCTGGCACCGCGGGAAAATCACCCGCAATCTGCATAATTACAGGCTCAGGGTTTAAAAAAGATTTTTGTTTAGAATCATATTCAGTGTCGCGTATGACAATGAGCGCATACAAAGATGTCCGTATGGAATTAGCACTGGGACATATCAGGAACAGAATGTAATCAATATGAGCACATTCAAAGACTGCACGCACATGTACAGAGTGAGAGCGTACCCTGTCTTTATTTTGATTACGATCATGTACACACGTTTAATGTAAGCCGAATGTTCAAAGGTTTTCATGGTATTCACCCAGAGATGACATGTAATCCGGTTGAAGTCTGAACATGGGGGAACTCAAAGTTCCAGCGCAGTCCAACATTTTATCCAGTCAGGTGAAACCCTGAGTGATTCCCACAGTTCATTCCCCGACCATCATCTTAGCCTACCTTCCATTCCTACGTCCTCATCGCACATGTAATCAGACTCATGCGTTGCTCAATTTAGCCCCGAGTGCACGTGTGATTGTCAGTGATTAAACAACTCTGAGGCAAAATTATTTCAATTACCGCGGCCGTGACCTGGGAATTGTCCCTGGGATAAGATTTTCCTCCTTGAGTGCCCTGACTTGCCTGGCTGCCGGCTCCATCGGTTCTCATCTGCACCTGGACTCTGATGTCCTAATGATGAATTATGGCCTCCTTTTTGAGCGGCTGACTAGCGCACAGAGGAACATTCCTCTCGACTGTCAGCACTGAAGAGCGGCCGCGGAGCGCTCCCTAATTAGCTCCCCCAAGAAACTGCTTGAAACCAATCACACGTCATCATGTATCAGCAGCTACTTTGTGAGCGGGGCGTCCTCCGTTGTTGTACTCAAACGTTAGCTTTACCCAGTGCTACGCCAAACTTTTTTTTTTTAAAAAAGAATGTTAGAATCTGCTGTAAGGCTGACCTTCAAAGCAAATACCAGAAATAGTACGGACTTACAGCAGCTAGGAGT